AACAGGGATGCTGACAGCCTGCAGGTTGGAGGTAAGATGAGGCATGAGCACAAAGGGAGGGTAATGGAGGCCTGAACGTGCTGTTGCTTTTCTGAACTTGGAAGTTCCTTTCCAGGTTCATCAGATTTCTTCCTCCTCTTTCTATAAGTTTGTTTGGAAACACTTTCCATTTGGTTGTGGACTGTTTTGCCCTTGTGCTGTATCACAGAACTTTTAAGCAGCGATATAACAAAGACTCCAAGCTTGATGTTAGTATTTATGCTAGGCAGGCAAGCCTGGTATAAATCTGAGGTGTTTTTCTTTTCTTTTCTTTTTTTTTTTTTCCTAGCTGTGATAGTGTCAGTTTGATATATCACCTTTCATGTTGTGTTTGTACTTGAGGTCAGGAAACCTCTGAGTTGTGCGTATCATCAGCATTGTAAATACAAAGTAGCCTTTGGCACCTTTGTGTGGTGCCTTGCAGTGGATTTGTCAAAACAAAACAAAATCCCCTCTTTTGTTTTCCCCTGGAGTCAATTACACTCAGGATGAAGCGGTTAGTGACACCAAGGATAGCAGTTGAAGCATTACAGGCTAACCTGCTTATCAGAAGTGCTGGCATCGGTATTTTCTGGTATCATTGGCCAGCTTTACTGGTCCACTGAGTACTTCTGCTTTTCAGCAGGACTTGCAAAACTCACTGAAACTTCTTTGCGGATTTTTGAGCTTCCAAAATGTACCGACCTAAATAAACCTATTGCACTGTGTCAGTGCTGGCAGTCTCTGGGGGCAGGACCTTTCCCCCTTTGCCTACGAACAAACCCTTTGATCAGAGACAGGGATCAGTGGTTGTGCCCTGCAGCCCTGTCCTGCATGCCCTGCTCCAGGGACTTGGGGGGGCATGTGCCAGCCCTGTGCCCTTCCCTGTCCTGTAGCTCTGGGGACATTCTGCACGTTTATCTAGGATACACTGTCCATAAACGGGTCCTGAGTTTGTGCTGGTGAGGGTTCTCAGGCTGTACAGATCTCCTGTATAGCTGTGCATATGTGTGTCTGCACACCTCTGTATTTGCTGCTATTGTCTATGTGCTGTATGATATATATGGAGATTATATATGCATTATGTACACATATGCATGGTATATGGCATGTACAGTGTGTCTGTGTGTTCTTAAGATGCTTCTTTGCAGCATCACACAGGATGGTGGAGTTGCAGCTGGTTTCTCCACACGATTGGAAAATGGGCTGGTGAGCTCTGGTTTTCCATGGTTCAGTACAGCCATGGCATAGTAATTTAGCAGGAATTGGTTTTCTCTGTCTTGGATTTCAAAATGCCCTCTCCTATGCTAAAGTATGTATAACTCTGTAACATGAAATAATGTAAATAGACCTATTCCCAAACAAAGCTTTTGCTATTGTGCAGGAAAAGTTTATTTTCTCTCCTTTCTCAGATAGGTCAGGTCATTAATTTTGTTGCAGCTGCAGTGGCGTAGGAAATGTGGCTCAGGTGTTCCTGTATTGCTGTTGCATGTCAGATACAGGCTGGCTTTTGTGACTAGTTTCCATATATAGGATTAGATTTTAGCTGTGTTCTGAAAAGAAAAAGGAATTAAAAAGCCAACGGAGAAAAATTAGCTGCATGCCTCCAAAACAGCATAATATAAATCATGTATTGTTGTTTTGATGATAAGTAGCCGTTCATTACACATGAGTAGGTTAAGAAACTACTGTTGGCTTGGGATGGGGTTTGCAGATCCATCTGCTGACAAGTAAGGTTTGGGACCCAGTCACATCTGCTGTGATGTGCTTTGCTTGAACAGAGCTTTCTTCCCATCTCTTTTTTTTGGCTGGAGATTTACGTAATATATTTGAGTACAGTAAAAGGTCCAGACACCCTGGCCAACAAACTAAACATGCACTGTACTTAATACTGCTAAAACTTTTTCATAAATGGTCTGTGACTATTCCAGTCACAAATAACTTAGGAAGGCTTTCAGATAGACTTTATGTCATATGGTTATGAGTTCTTCTGTAAATAAAGCAAATCCTCAGGAGTGAGTGTGAGTAATGGTTGATCCTGAAAAATGAGGAATAGGACTGTGTTCTGAAGCTGGGTGAAAAAACCCACATGTTGTAATTTATTTATTTACTTTCATTACTCTGCACTTCTCCAAGCACTGAAACACAACCAGAACACAAGAACTTATTGCAGATCTGCAGAGTCCTGTACAGTGGGGACTGTTCTTAGTTATTGCTATCAGCAGCAATAAATGTAATAAACATAAACCTCTCATGACAGCCTCATACATTCCTCAGTCTGTGACTTCCCCAGCAGCCAGAAAATAGATGAACTTCGCTGTGGGTCTGAGAAGGGGTTATCAGCAAACTCTGGGTCTGCAGGCTTGAGGAAAAGATCAGGTTTCAGTATCCCACATTTTTCATGGAAAATACTGTCACTGGAACTTTTGAAGTTTCTGGGGGACTGTGGTCATAATTGTTGTTGTTTTCTATATGAGGAATAGGACACTTTAGGGGCAAAATCCAAACTAGCAGAAGTGTTAGGAGCTAAACCCACTGTCTAAAAGCTTATGTCAAAATTCACCACCCACTCATACAGACTTTAGACAACCGGTGGCACTACAGAAACAGGTAGCCCCAGGAGAGAAACACCAGTATCTATTGAGGTGAAAAACATAAAACACAGCTGAATCTGAAAAAAAAAAATCTGTTACAGCTTTCCTGAGTCTTTCCTAAGATCATTGGGAAAACTCAGACCCTGCTTGTGTTCAAATGGTGCGTCCCTGGTGACCCCACCATTCCTGACTGTGCTTCAACATCCCTTAATAAAAGAGAGGTTCTGGGGTTTGGTTTTGTGTGAGCAGGGATCTCAGTCCCCTGAGTATACTGAAGTTATGAACTGCACTCCTTGTGAGCTTGGTTTGAGATGGAAATGTATGTGAATAAACAATGTGTATGATTCAATTCTCCCTCTCGTGGTCAGATGGGGCCCTTCTCACAGCCTTCAAGTACAGACATATTAGATGTGTGTATTTGTTTGATGTAACTTGCATCTTTTGTAAGACTCCCATGTTCATAGTACAACCAGGATTTAGTGGGGAAGTTACTGATAGTTCTTGAAATACATATATTGACTTTTTGCCACGCTGTGAGTGGACAGATTGGAGATCTGAACTGAACTGCAACATTCCGTGGAATTGTATTAACCTCACTTATACACACCTCCCTTAAGCGTTTCTAATTTGTCTCTGTTTAGGTGTTAAAGTACTTCTGAACCACAGCTCTGTTTGTCATCCTCCTGGCACTCCTGTTGACTCCAGTGGGTGATACAGTGTAAGCTCTGTTGCTTTTCAAGGATGCTGCAGTGTCTTTGACTTTGACAGGAACACTCTTCTAAAAGAGGAGAGGAGGATTTGCCTCTCTGTTATAAATCCGAGTGTTTGGTAAAAAAAGTCCTGAGGATTTTATTCAATGATATTTAAGTCTCGTCAGAAGGAACAGAACCCTACCTAAAAAAAAAAAAATCTCACAAATGAGCAGGATTATAAGCATTCCAAAATCAATTCTTAATTATTGTTTAATTGATTTCAGATGTAAAAAAGAAAAAATTTCAAGTATATTCTTTACATAAGGCTTTACAGGCATTTTCTGTCAAAGTGGATGTTAGAACAATACCAAAATTCTCTCATGAACAAAGCCACTGTACACCCATAAGCCTTTTGTTCAGTTTTATCACCGAGGAGCAGCAGTTTTATTTTACTAGTTTTTCTGATTTACATCACAAATATTTTCTGTTGCATGAGTAATTTTTTACAGTTATTTTCATCCACTGGCGTGGGAAAATAATTGCCACTTTTTAGAACTCCTGTTAAATTCTGAAGCAATGACTTTAATTGCTTTTGTATTTCTATGTAGTTGGTTTCCTCTAAGAATTGGCTAAAGATTTTCCTCGCACAGATCTTGACTCAAAGATTGTCCTTTAGCTAGAAAATATTGATTAGCTTTTGTTTGGCCCCTGTGGAGAGCACCTTATCTCTAAGACTGGGTTTTGTTATGATGAGAGTTGACAGAATTCAGATTTAGCCAGGTGAAGTCTGTCACGGTCAGTAAAATGTTAAAGAATCACAGTAATAAAAAATGATTTTAATCTTGTGATTTTTTTTTAATTAAAAGCGGTTTTTAATGATGCAGAGATTTTGAGGAGTTCAAGTTTATTGAAGTAATTCATGCTAATTGTCTCATCTGCTTAGTATATCATTTGTCTTCTATGAATATCAATGCCTACATTCATTTAATCTAAAATAATTAATACCCAAACAATTAATAATGAGATAGAATCTGAATTGAAAAGAACTTTAAAAGATTTTTAAGTATATTAGTGATTTTTAAGACTGACTGTAAATATTGCATTACATCTCAAATTATGTTATCAGAAAAATGACATGAAAAACTTAATGCAAGATCACAGGCATCTTTTTGTTATGTGTGCCAATATTATTATTATTATTATATTGTGGCAGGTCAGGGATAAGAACTTATGTACCATAGTTCAGGCCTTGTGCAAGCTTAGTAAAAGGGTACTGACTGTAGCTGAGCAGCCCGGACTATTTCAGTGGAGTGTGTGGCTGCCTCGCTGATGTCAGCAGGGAGATAGGTGCCTTTGAAGAGTGATTCAGCAGCTCTCAGTGCTGACTAATCACTAGATTTAGCCACTAGCAAATGCAGGATCCACGGTGATGTCTGAGCTCCTGCCTTTTAGGGCTGGCATACGGCTCTGACTCAGGGTTGTATCTGCCCACTAATGATCTGGTGCCTACAGCCCTCTTCTGATGCGAGATATCTGAGCCCATCTTGTCTCCTTGAAAGTAGCAAAACCCTCCAAAGACACTTCTGCTTTCATAGCATTTTGTGGCTTTTCTGTAATAACCTGGTGACAGAGAAAGCATGACTTTGGGGCTCCCAGCAGCCTGAGGGGGCAGAGTCTGTTGCCCTTGCCAGGGAGAGGTTATCCTGGAGAAACCAGCCTCTATGCACCTGCCTGAAGATGAGCTACAACACAGCCGAAAATGCAGCAGTCACAGCACCAGAAGTAAGTCTGATCCTGTAGCTTTGTGGCCTGGGATTCACCTGAGGAGGGTGGTTGGGTCTTTGATCTGAAGTGTTTATGTTGGTTTTTTCTAGCTGGTAGTAATGACACAAAATAACTCGGATCCCTACTTCTGGTCTTGGCTGCTGTTGTAATCTGGGAGCGTACGCCTTGCCTGTGAGGTTCAGCAGGACCTGGGTGACCGTGGCTTGCACACCATGGTGGGCTGCTTTGCCTCCAAAGCACTAATTGCTTCCCAATGTCATTTGCTGCTTTTGGTTTTAGCAGCTCTTTCGTGCTGCTGAGGACAGAATGTTAAGAATGTGAAGGTGGATTAGGTATATGTGGAGGCAGTAGCTGAGGACCTGTCTCTGCCTCCCAAAACCTGCTGCGCTCCTCGGTCCTCTGAGGCGTCCTTCTGACCTGGTGGTGTGGAGGGTTAACCAGGTGTGCCTAGTGATGGAATATCACCTGCCACACAATTTAACTGCCTTGTCTCTTGGTGCTGAGGTTTTTCTTCAATCAACAGGGGACAGTACACCCTTGGCCACTTCTCTTCTGAACATTTTAGGACATTGGCCTAGGATGTTCTTTCTCGGCGGCTTTCTGGCGGTCTCTGTACTTGAGAGAATTATTCCACTAAGCAAATTGATGGGCTCAGTGAGTGTGTGCTGTGAGTGTTAAGTTTAATTTTCCTAACTACAGGTGTGCCTACAGGCTGTAACAGAGCTGGCATAGTTTGGCCATTCCAGTTCTATAGTAATGGCCCGATGTGCTCCTGCTGCCTGGCACAGAGGACGTGGTTGTGTTGTCAGTTGTTACAGTGGTAAGTTTTATATGTTGTTGTCTGAGCTAGAGGTAGTTTGGATTTCCAAAAATGAGAGTTGGAAAGCTTGAAAAGATGAAGGGAATAAAGAACCTGGGAAATTTGTGTAAGCATCTGTAAAACATCATAGCCTGGACATTGTCAATTTTAGGTATGTTGTTCATTAACTTTACATCTCACACATATATGATGAATGCTATCCTGCCTTCCAGTCTTACCCCAGCCATGCACCATGCATTTTTCTGTCTGCTTTGGGCTGCTACTGGTCTTAGGATGTCATGTTATGAATCAGCTGACTGGTCCTGCTCATTCTATTTTTTTCTTTTTTTTTTTTTTTTTGTGGGGGTGGGAATGGGAAGGAGGGAAATTACTTTGCAGCCAGATTAATTTCCTGGTCTATCTGCCTGTGCAGTTGCATGAATGCCACTGCCAACACAAGGAGGGGAGCAAAATTAAAATGTTTCTGGACTGCCATCTTTAGATATAAAAGAATAAGTATGATTACTTTGTTAATATTAGTTTGGTCTAGGTTTTGACACACTGTTAGGACCATATGCCTGTAATCATTATTCACTCTTGAAATGTAGATTAGTCATCAGGCGTGTTTTGTGGCTTCTCTCAGTATGTATGTGTGCTGTGGTCTTTTGTTTAGTAGATGAAATACATTTATTTTGGGGGAAAATATAACCTGATACTGCAGCACAGTAGCCTTCATATGAACAAATGAGCTGCATCTGCTCGATGCTGTGTCTTTTAAACACATGCTTCTGGAGAAGTTTTATCCAATTCTCACTCTTGCAACTCTGCTGTTTGCAGAGGGCAAAGATGCTGAACATCTCAGTGGTCTGTGCTGGCCCAGTGGACACAGCTTCTAATCTTGCCATTGACTTTTACTGTGTATTTTTTCAGTTTCCATATATAAATTTACCCAGCACTACACTGAAGAGTCTGAGATTTTTCCAAAGTGATTTACATGAATTTAGCATACTGATTCCATGTTAAAGTCACTACTCTAGAAATCCTACTGTAGCATTCTGATTGATCTTTAATCAACGACGTGCATATGAAAAGTGAAGAATAAGTAATTCTGGTATATGTATTTTAATTTCATAAACATAATCATAATAGCTTGCTCCAAGTTCCTGAAATAGACAATTGTTTCAAATATAGCTTTTGTTGAAGTAAAGTGCATATATTCTGAATAAATATCTATCAATTATAAGCTACTAGCTTGATATTGTAGATAGATAGATATTGTAAAAAAACACTATCTATATACTAGATAGATATTGTAAAATACTTAAATTCCTTCTGTTCCCGTATTTTCTTAGTTCATTAGGACAGTATGACTTCAGTGGATGTGGGATGCAGTAGGGAAAAGATCAGAAATGTGTGTGAATACATGGGTTTCTAAACATGACGAATTTTTTTTCTTCCCTTGTAATGTGTTTTTCAAAGTATTAGTTCATAAAGTACTTACTAACTTTGTGAATGCAGCTAGTGTTTTCTATGCAAGATTCCACTTCTTTCCTCTATTTAAGCCTTTTACAGTAAATTCCCTGAGTTTACGTGTATCTCTCCATAAATACCAATAATGCCTTAATTTTCATGGGTGTTTGCGGTTGGGCTTTGTTTAAATGAGTTCCATCCAAGAGGAATCAGAGCCTTGTATTCCTGCAGAAATGAATAAACCACATGAGGTGAATTTTCATACAAGCCATTTCAAACCTGGAGTTTTCAGGGTATAATTTAGACACTGTATTGGTGGTTTATGACCATATAAAGTGGAGGTGTGTAGGTAGGAGGCTGGATAGATGTACTTGTAAATGGCTGGAAGCAAGGAGGCTGAGTATGGTCTCCAGCAGTGCATTTTTCAGCTCACAGTTTCACATCTCTATCCTAAGGCATTAGATGTTACTAATTCTCCAAAAGCCAAAGATTTGTTTTACAGGAGAAGATTCTGATTTGATTAAGGTATTGCTTCAAGACCTAACGTTCCTTTAGCAAATCATGCCATGACTGGAAACGTACATGACTGGAAATAAACTGCACGTTATCTGAGAAACAGAGCAAGAGCCTCATGATTTGGAATGATGCTGCAGAAGAGAAGCAGTGTTTAGTGTAATGACAGTACACTTAGATTAATTATAGCGCTGCTTGCAGGCGCCACTATGTACTTAGTGTTGTGTCAGCACTTCTGCTGTTAACCCTGTGTTGCAAAAATTTATAATTGGGCTCTAAAAAAATGAACAAATCCTCTGGTTTGAATTCAGTCTTTGTGCTGCATGCACTGCATCAACTTTTGGTTAGGGCCTGAATTTTGTTTTCGTATCCTTAACTCTTCCAAGTGTGTTTCTGTAGAAATAATCATATCTATGTAATATTGTGTATGTTTTCTGCTCTGCCCAATTCTGATGGAAGATTTAATTTCAGTAAATGCCTGGGCCGTTTTGTGATCAGTTCAGATGGTCTGAAATAAAGCAGTGAGATATTTAACCTTGCAAGTTGGAAGGTGTAAGTATTAAGCCACCATTTTTCTACTCAGTAGATGGGTTAAACTTGGCTTAATGTAATATGATTAGCTGCAGTGGCTCTGAAGGATTGTTAAGGTTTGTAATAAGCCTTGAGCATGACTTAAAAGGCTGTTTACACACAAAAAAATGGAAATACTCTGAAGAAGCTATTATAATTAGTCAGGTAAACACTACAGAGTGGTTTTTAAAATAAACATTGGAAATATACTATAGGCATAAAAGCGACAGTGAAATTAAATAACTTTTTGACTAAGTCATCAGAATATGTTTTATCTTCATTTTACTGTTGATGAGACAGCAATAAATGCTGAGACAATAAACTTGCCTATACCTAGAACATCTCATCCTGCAAATACAGGAACCTTCACGCAATTTTCTAGCAGTTCTTGGCCTCTTATCCTCTCTTGTTTCTAATTTCCACTCTTAGATTGTATTTTATTTTTTTCTGAGTAGTGCTGGCAAGTGGCTCTTATCAAGAACAAATGATGCTGTAAATCAGGACCAAAATCAATGCTGCTGTGGGGTTGTAGCAGCAAGATGCGGTTATGTGGGCCTGAGTGTTTTACCTGCCTCTGAAGCCAAGAGTGAGGCCCTGGGTAGTGTTCCAACCCTTGGCTTTCTGATTTACTGGCAAGTATATATATACAGCTGTTCTGTCTCAGTCTTGGAGTGGAGTTATCAATATTAAACTCCCGTTTTAATATGCCTTTTCTCATAATGCAAACAGTATAAAGCAAGTGGACATTTGTAGTCAGGTAGAATTGCACAGGAATACAGAAAGCATTTAGTTCCTCCACCCTTAATACTACTAGAGTAGGATTTAGGACTGGCAGGACTGGCTTAGTTGCCTGGCAGCATGTAATGACTCCCTTCTTGTCCTTTTGAGCATGTGTTCTCTGTAGGTGCAAAGGATAGTGGGTGTTCGCATAATAGGATGTGCTCTGTCAGGTGGAGGAAGGTTTATTTGCCCAAAGCAACAGGGTCCTTAACATCATGGCTGGCCATTTTCAGCTGCAGTTACTGCTCTTCTCCGTGATAGGTGGTAGTATAAACAAGGAATGATTTGTGCCGCTGGAGTAAGGCCATGTGTGTTATGCCAAATATAAAATGAGAGGGCTGATACGAGTGCCTCTTGGACATGTCTTTCATTACCCTTTACACTTCTCTTTCCTAATAGAATTTGGAGGAACCAAACACATGCTCTATGCAGGGTTTTATTAGAGTGCTTTGCCTCGGGCCCTTAACTCCTTTAGCTGGTCATTACCTGACCAGTAAAGACCTCTAAACGGGTCATTAATGCTTAAGTAATAAACTGTTTCACAAGACTGTCTAGTGCAGAACCTCTTCTATCATTTTTACAGTTACCGTTTTATAGATAAATCAATGACCAACAACTGGATATTCTTGTTTTGCTACATAATCTTGTAATAGCGGCCACAGCAAACAGGCAGAGGGTTCTGTTAACTGTGTCAGGACAGCTGGAGGTGGGCACATGCAAGTGGGATCTGGAGGTGTGTGTAGGGTAAACCAGGAGTAAGGTAAACAGTGAAGACATGTTCTGCTGTTACCAAAATGAAGTGTATCAGTGTATCTGCTTCTAAAGTTTCAGATTTTTGAAGTAGATGACGTTTTTTCCCCCTTCT